TACTAACATAACGATTTATTCACATAGCAACCTCTGCATATGAAGATCTCTTTAAGATTCTCACTCATCCTGAATATTAAAAAGAGGATCTTACTGCAAATATTCACCAGATTCGTAAATGGTAAGATAGACTACCATTAATTAAAGTACGCAAACATGAAGTATCCCTTTGTATGCAACGAACACCATTCACATATGAATCTACTAAAACAGCATTTATCATTTTTTCGATAACATATTTGGAACATATTTTACTTCGGATCTGGAATAGTTACAGATGAACGACGAGAATTTTGGCATGGTGAACTCTAGCAAGATTTACCAATGTTTGGAGAACATGAAATGGAAACCAACAATGAATGTTAGTAATAAATTTTTTATAAAATTTATGTTTTAAAAAATAATAACTATTTTTTTACTAGTATATAAAGCAGGCAAATTTTTAGAATACCGTAAACAATCTTTAACATTCATATGCCGTGTACGAAGTGTAGTAATTGATGAAATTAACAATAATTCATTTAAACTAAAAATTGATCGAATCCTTTCACATGAGAATCTTTCTAACTGCCATTCAACAAATAATCAACATACTCGTGGAAATAGTAATGAGTTATGGTTAGTTGAAGGTGAAGTAAATTTGGTTGATCTGGTGAATATAGAATGACGTATTATTGTTTGGTTATGTGATATACCAGAACCTGAAGAATATGAATATTATATCAAAGAATTATATATTAATTCGATAATAGATGGAAATTCCGTGATATAAAAATGTGGCATCGATTATCTTGTGAATATATTACATTCACACGATTACCACAACTCCTTCCAATTTTAAGATTTTTATAGACATTTATTTCGATGATTTTGGTACTTATAGAAACGTGTATCATTTCTTAAGTGGGTATATTTACAGTTCAGAAATATGTCACTAACATTTTGAAAACAGTTAAAAAACCATTTTTTAATAGGATTTGTTCCATTTGGAGTAAATTTTGATGATTTTATTGAACTGGTTCTTCAGGATATAAAGAGCTTGGAAAAAAGTCTATTTATGAGAACTTTGAATGGTAATGCATTTGTTATAGGTGGTAGGGTTCCTCAAAATCAAATCAAATCAAATATTTAAGCAATTTGAATTTGATTTGATTTTTCAAATCGAATCAAATCGAATCAAATTGAACTCAAATATTTGATCGAATCAATTTGAATCAAATATTTGTCAAATCAAATCAAATCAAATAAATATTTGATTGAATCAAATCAAATCAAATCAAATATAAAAAAATTTTTTAATTTTTACAATGATATATTAAAATAAAGTTATTATAAAGGTTTAATTAAGAAAATTATTAGTAATTGCACTAAAAAATTTCTAAAATAGCTTTTACAAAGTAAGTTTAGTAACAGGTGAATTTTTACTATTAAACTTAGTAAAATAACTCTGCAATCTCGGTTTTACTAAGAAAATTTAGTAATAACCGCTATCATAGCTTCAGTTTACTAAGAAAACTTAATAATAACCGCTATCGCAGCTTCAGTTTTACTAAGAAAACTTAGTAATAACCACTATCTTAGCTTCATAATCATTTTATTATTAAAAATATTTCCGAAGTCGCGGAGGCATTTTTTTACTAGGTTTCTTAGTAAAATAGCATCTCTGAAGCTGTGGAGGCATTTTTACTATGTTTTCTTAGTAAAATAACATCCCCGAAGCTGTGGAGGCATTTTTACTATGTTTTCTTAGTAAAATAACATCCCCGAAGCTGCAGAGGCGTTTTTTATTATGTTTTCTTAGTAAAATAACATCTCTAAAGCCGCGGAGGCATTTTTTATTATGTTTTCTTAGTAAAATAACATTTCCAAAAGCTGTGAAGGAGTTTTTTACTATGTTTTTTTCAGTAAAAAAGGCATTTTTGAAGCTGCAGAGGCACTTTTTACTATGGTTTTTTAGTAAGAATCACTTCTGAAGCTTTGGAGATGACTTTACTATTGATTCGAATCAAATCAAATATTTGAATACTTTATTTGAATTTAATCGAATCAAATCAAACATTGATTTGGATTTGACATATGGGCCAATTTGTCTCGTATCACTAATTAATTTTATGTGATAATTTATAAGTTTTGATCGATATACCGTCACATGCTAATAAAGTTAGTGATAAAATCAGATAGTATGGACAATGTATAATGACGATCCTATATTTAAGCCA